GGTATTTCTAATAAAGTTATGTTATAACGTTTTGTTAAAGCTTCGCTTTGCTTGTTTTGAAAAGTATTGTTAAGCATGAATGATGATCCCTATTTTGTATATCAAGTATTAGCCTTGTTTTGGATGACATTCTTGGAAAGTCCGTACGTGCTAGGGGACTCTAAACTTTTGTAGCACAAGTCCTCCCATGCTAGGGGACTTTAAGCCCATGTAGCATCATGTTTGAGAGATATTTGTCATCAATGGTCTATGAACGGATGGCCCCACCGACGGTCTGTGAACGGGTGGATTTGTCATCAACGGTCTATGAACAGATGGCCCCACCGACGGTCTGTGAACGGGTGGGTTTGTTTTGTCAGGAATGTCATCACCCCATGTATTATGTAGATGTTATTAAACATCCCAAGAAGATTTGAAAGACCAAGATTTGATTGATGAACTTGATCCATCCCAAGTTTTGAACAAGCTATGATATATGTATTGTTTTGACAAGGACCTCGGGAATCATTCATTTAATACCTTTATTACTTATACCATTCACTGAGTATTCAAGATCACCCCCTCCTTATATATATATATGTAGGTAACAAGCATGAAGGCGGTGACGCCGAGATGTGTTATTTGCAAGATGATGTTTGATCCATGTTATGTCGGCAATCTTGAAGATTATGCTTCTTGACTTTATATTTCATGTGTTTTGTATATGTCGGCTTGAGAAGCCTTTTGATCAAGATGTAACATGTACTTTATTTTATTTGTATTCAAGTTATAAAACCATGCTAAGATGTATGTCATTTCATTTGATCTATGCACAGTTCTTATGGACTACTTAGATTTAAATATATTGCTTCCGCACATGTTAGCCCCATATGTAATACTCTGATTGTGTGTGAATTTTGAAAGTTGGCCTTCGGTAATCTTGGATTACTGGCCATCACAGCACCATTCTACTAGGGGCGGAATGGGGTCGTGACACTTAGTAAATTCTCAATAAATTACTTAGTAATTTCCAACTAAATTACCCAGAGAAAAACTTAACAATTTATCAGTAAATTTTTTAAACAATTCGGAGTAAATTCTCAATAAATTCTCAGTAAATTTTCATTAAATTACTCAGTAAAATTCTCAATAAATTACACGCAAAATTCTCAAAAAATTATTTAGTAAATTCTTAGTAAATTATTAGAAAATTCTGTGTAAATTCTTAGAAAATCATTAGAAATTTTTTTCCTGAATTACACAGTAACTTATGAGTAAATTACTCTGTAAATTCACAGAAAATTTTGTATAAATTCTGGG